TAGATTAACAGAAATTCTTCCGCTCATGAAAATAAACTGAGCCAATTTTAGTGTCAGCACAAGCTCAAGTGTTAATCCGTTTCACAATTTTCAAAAGAGATTTGATTGTGTTAGAAAAGAAACATTTAAGCGACTTGAAATGGCATTTGCTTCCCTTTAGATTCTGAGTCGTTTCACATGTCTCATTGGTTTTAGTCCGATATTTTCATTCGTTATGGGGAATTTCTTCCATTGCCTGTGGTTGCGGATGAATAAGTGTGTTCCCTCATAAATTAAACTGAAATAGGATAGTTGACACAATTTGAAAATGTAAATTTTTTTTTGCTTAAAGATTTTTATTTTAAAACATAGGAAAGTTGTATATTTTTAGAAATTGTAGCTCTTCATCATTTCCTGTATGTTGTTCAGAAGTTGTAATCAACTTTAAGATCAGATTAAATATGATAGCTTGTAATAGCATTTTCTGTGCTGGTTTTAGGGGAAAATCTGAAAATGTGTTTAGATATGCTAAATGCATTAAGTATTAGACATTTTTAATGAAAGAGATGGCGACAAAGAGGCAAAACTTACGGATTGCAGCTTTAACGTGATATCAATATTTAATTTCATAAATATCAAAGTTATTGTGATGCCTCTATTAGAAATATTAGCGTTATATTTGCCATTGGTCGCCCTCTGTCAGTATTGGCATCCAGCCATTAAAAAAATCAAGACATTTGTGGTGATTTTTTTCTGATCCCTTATTTTTTAGTCACATATTTCTTACTTAAACAAGCTGTTGTAGCACTCTGCCTGAACGTACTACACAAATAGACCACAATTAGCGTCATTCTGAACTCTTGTTTTATGTGTAGCTGTGGACACCTGTACCACTGCCAGTGTCTTCAGCGTAAAGAGGTGGGTGTTTTGAGCGAGAGGCAGTACTCATGGAGCTGCTACAAATGCACATCCAACCAGGGCACACGGCCAGCGGACAGACCCAGCGCAGAGAGCTCTCGATCATGCTCTACTTCTCTGGCACAGGTCAGTCAGGCAGTCACATTTCACAATCAGTGTGTTCACCCAAATATGAAAATTCTGGCATATTGTATTCACCTCAGTATGCTTCTAAAGAATGTTATTTTTTCTATGGACCACAATAAGAATTCTTAAAGGGGTCATATGATGCTTTTTTAAAGATCATTATTTTGTGTATTTGGTGTATGTATATGTTGACATGCTTTAATGTTCAAAAAACACATTATTTTTCAAATACTGTGGTGACTGACTGCCACACATACTCTTCAGAACATTAGATTCATCCGCACTGGAGCCGCGCCGACTCACAGCCCACGCAAGCTAGATAATTCCGCACACTGCTGCAATTCCAGGTTTTCAAACAGAGATGGCGACAAAGAGGCAAAACTTACGGATTGCAGCTTTAACGTGATATCAATATTTAATTTCATAAATATCAAAGTTATTGTGATGCCTCTATTAGAAATATTAGCGTTATATTTGCCATTGGTCGCCCTCTGTCAGTATTGGCATCCAGCCATTAAAAAAATCAAGACATTTGTGGTGATTTTTTTCTGATCCCTTATTTTTTAGTCACATATTTCTTACTTAAACAAGCTGTTGTAGCACTCTGCCTGAACGTACTACACAAATAGACCACAATTAGCGTCATTCTGAACTCTTGTTTTATGTGTAGCTGTGGACACCTGTACCACTGCCAGTGTCTTCAGCGTAAAGAGGTGGGTGTTTTGAGCGAGAGGCAGTACTCATGGAGCTGCTACAAATGCACATCCAACCAGGGCACACGGCCAGCGGACAGACCCAGCGCAGAGAGCTCTCGATCATGCTCTACTTCTCTGGCACAGGTCAGTCAGGCAGTCACATTTCACAATCAGTGTGTTCACCCAAATATGAAAATTCTGGCATATTGTATTCACCTCAGTATGCTTCTAAAGAATGTTATTTTTTCTATGGACCACAATAAGAATTCTTAAAGGGGTCATATGATGCTTTTTTAAAGATCATTATTTTTGCAACTTCAGGGATCTTATCTATGCACAATCAGCTTGTAACACTCCAAAGAGAAAGGAAAACTTGAAATCGCATCATATGACCCCTTTAAAGAATTGTCATATTGCTTACAATTTCATACTGCCCATGTCAGTCAAGCTCCAAAATGGATGAAAAAAACACCTTGAAGGTGGAAAGTAGTCCATATCACTTTTGCCCAATATTTCAAATCTGAATGTATTCCATCTAAAGCTATGACAGATTTGTGTGTGGAAGAGACAATAATGCACTGAAATGTTACCGAACATCTTCCACAAAGAGCATCAGTCATATTGACTACTTTTTATTCTTAGCTGCTTTTGATCATTTTTGATCTATGAACTGTTGTATAGAGAAAAACATAAAAGTATATGAGCTTGAAAAAACATGATGGTGAGTAAATAATGACTGAGAAAAATTATTATTTTGGGTAAACAAATACTTTAACACTTCATTTAATCTGTTTTTCATTTGAACTGTTTCTTCGTGTCTTTTGTCTGTCCATCAGTGTGTCTCTCAGTCTATCATGCGCTCATCGTAGTTGTATCAGCCCAGAACAACTTTTCTTTAAGGGACTTTTTTAGTTCGATCATGGTTCTATTCGTCATTGTATCTCTCTCATACACTCTTTGGGACTACAGAGAGTTCACATTAAAGGTGATATGACTTTTAAGTACTATTATATGCATACAGCCAGGGTATATGTATTATCCACGCAAATTGGATCTCTGTTATGGGGCAGTGGTGTGTATGTAAATGGCATGCAAATGGATTTCTCAGCATGCACCTGTATTAGTCGTAACCATAGGAGGCTGATGGCTGCAGGCACAAAAGAGAGCCATGCTAGTATCCCTAATCACAGAGGTGTTGCCACAGTGATTCTTTTGGAAGTAAAGAAAAAATTATTCCCAGCCCGTGTGATTAGAATATTTGTTCAATTGCAAAAACAAAGCAAAGCTGCCTTTACCTTAAACGCATGGCCCATAATTCCTGCTGATTGAATCTGCACTGCAGCTTAACAAAAGAATGTTATATTTCTGTAAGTTAGTGATGTACTGTAAATGAAATAATAAAAGTAAGCTGAAAGTGCCGGATTAATGGGTCAGTGATGTGATAATCTAATAATTTATAAAAAAATGCAGGCAACTGCAATTCATACATACAGTGATTAAATAAACCCCTGTGTTTCAGTTGTTTTGGTTGGTCGTTGCTCCTGTATGTGTGTTCCAAGTTGTTTCTCTCATGGCTTGTGTGGATTGCTCCTGATTTATTTGTGTGGGTTATATTCTTGTTCCAGGATTGGATTATATATATATTTGTGTTTTTTCAAATAAGCTTACTTGTGCTCGCATTTGGATTCTAACTCCATCTCGTTCCGGCTCACTCGTTACAGAATATGAATATGGTCTTAAATTATATTTTTGTGTGAACTATCTCTTTAAAGATAACATATGTGGCAATATAACTCTTGATATAGGATGATACTGTATATGTTATATTAACATTTCTGTATGCGAGTAATTAAAAGAATAACATTTTAAGTAGATTAATTATTTTTTCTTAGAAAAATCTATACTTTTAGCAAAAGCTTCGCTGCTGCTTAATATTTTAAAACCGTTTGTCTGGAAGATCAAAGTCATGTGGTGTGACCAACATGCAGAAGTATAAAACACATTTTAAAAAAATGCAAATGATATCGTAGAGAGGACCGCTACAGACCCTCATGACAGATAATTTCACCTTTTTATGACCAGATGAAGGTTGTTTAGGTAGTTGGGAAATTATTATGACAGAACTGTATTCGAGTCTGTCTGACTGTATCACTGCACTGCTTTTGTCATAATCTGTCAATCACATTTTTTTATATTTAAAGAATTTGCCACTGTTGATTCAAACGCGAGTTTTGGGCAGTGTAGAGTAGGGCTCATTTTGTCATTTCTCCGATAGGGGAGAAACAATAATGTACAGTATGTGGAAAATAATGTGTTTTTTTAACCTTAAACCACATAAACACATTTCATTACACCAAATACACAAAATAATGTTCTTTTTAGCAACATCATTTGACCCCTTTAACCCGTCACCTCGTGTGTTTCAGACCAAAGTGATGTCTGCTCATCATGGGATTGTGGCAGAGGCTCATGGGAGAAAGGTAAGTGAGTGGAATTACATTCTACAACTACACTGGGTTTGATTAGTTTCAGATTATTAAATCTTACGTCAGCTGTAAGAAATGCTGTGTTTTAAATAGTTTTAGATTTGTATTGTCAATTGATTTGGCAACAAACTTAATTGCAGTTTAGATTTCAGATTTTAGATTCAGTTTTTAATTGGTATTAGACCTTTACAATAAACTGTTTTAATATTGCATTGCATTTTCACTTTTCTATAACTGACTAAATCCAGCACTTTTAGAGGTGCATCATTGCTCTACTTCAGCTCGACGGAGAATCATAGCTCTCTTCCACTCTGCCTTTTGTGTGTTTATTCATCCATGAAACGTAAATGGCTTTTTCCCTGCTGGTTCAAAGCAAATTAGCTTGCTTATGATTGCATTACACTCTCTCCCTACTTTCATGCATTTGTTTACTGGCAGGAATGGAGTGATGAAACATTCCTGCCTTGTCTGTCTGTCTCTTTCTTTCTTACTTTCTGCCTCTCTCATCTACATTTCTGTCTCTCGTTTCTCGCTCTTTTGGAGACATTCTCTCTCTCTCTCTCTTCATTGAGCATTCATTGCTTGTCGGTCAAGAGACTTGGCGTTTTATACAATGTGACAGTGAGCCTTAAAGACAAGACAGGAAGTGACATGAACCTTTTGAGCTATTCACTCTTCTCCAGCATCCCTTCGTCCTCTCTCTCCTTCAATAAACCCTCAGCCATTAGCATCACTAAGCACTGTGTTATCTGTAACAGGCAAAATTCAGCACTTTTCTTCACATCCAAGTTTTCAGGAACCTGCTAACTCGCAGAATTATACCTGTGGAGACTTTTGCTTTAATTAACACTTAATGCTTCAGAACTCCTGCATGCTAATGATAACAAGGCTGACAGGAGGACGACACACAGTGTTTTTTTTTCTTATTTTCTCTCTCCTTTTTATCTTTGAATGCAGTGCTCTTGCAGCAGAAACTGCTTTTAACATGCAAAGATAAAGATTTAAATTCAAGTTTTTTTTTCAATTCAAGTTTATTTGTATAGCTCTTTTCACGATACAAATCGTTGCAAAGCAACTTTACAGAAAATTAAGTTTCTACAATATATTTAGTAGTAGCTTATCAGTGGTGACTGTCAGTAAATGTACATATGGCAGAAATGTATGGAAAAATCAATTAAAGACGTAATCAAACAGAAGATGAACACTATTAACAGCAATTATAAAATAAAATGATAAAAATGCTAATTTTAGAAGAAAATTTCAGATGGCACTTAAGAGGCTTTTGCA